TTCCTCTAGTTATCTATATTTTTTAGCACAACTTATAGTATGAAGAACAAACTTATTTTGTGGTCAAGGCTATCCTATTGAGTTGTCATGGGGGTGGCAACGGTACCGGCAACGTTAAATTTATAAATGGGCCTTAAGTGTCGTCTACAGATCACAGAGGTTATAGATTGGAAACTGCAATATGCGCCTGCAAAATGCTATTTGTCGCTTATCCTCAGCGGCTGCTTGCAAAACTAAACTCTAGTTTGCACTACTGGCTGAAGAAATCTTTATTGATTAGGTCCACATCAAAATTTAGCGGGATATTTGATTTCAGTTTATGACCTCTGTGATTTCCGTTAGCTTCAATAACATTTCAAGCATTTCATCATGCCCCTTAGTTGTGATGTTTATGGTAGGGCTTCAATTAACATCACAATTAAAGGGCATTATGAGATGCTTGAAATATTATTGAAACTTATCAGAGATCGCGGAGATCAAAAAGTAAATTCAAATCGCCTGCTAAAATTTTGTTCGTGTGAAAACTAGAACTAATTGGGAAAATAATGCACATATTAATATTAATTAAACGTATTTATTAAACTGAAAAACATAGAGATGTAATTTGTATTCAGATTACATGAGTTAGATCGTTAGTGTTTCAACAAAATTTGAAATAGGTTTTATTAAATTAGTAAATATGTTGAACAAATATGCAGAAGTGTTGATATAAGTATTCAATTATATGAGATGCTAAATGCCACTGGCGGCTCCTCTTACTGCGGACGCTCACTCACTACTATTACTGGTAAATACTATTTCCTCTGGCACATCAAATAATAAATGATGCTCTTGCTGAAGATGCTGCACCAAATGTTCATTTTTCTGGTATGAGTTATTGCAGTTTGATTCTAAACATTTATAGTTCCAAACTCACTTGTCATATGAAACTGTACTTGCTTCTGAACCATGAACTACTCGGCAGTGCCGGTTTAAATTAGATTGCTTGGAAAATACTTTGTTACCAACAAAACACGTAACACCCATTTTATTTTTGTTAAGTGAAATAAAATGAATAATTTCTGAAAAAATCTGCGGAAGACTGCACACTACGCAAACACCCAACGATTTCACATCTAAAAGGTTAACCCGTACTACCCCTTAAAATTTTAAATCAAAAAATTTACGCGACTGCGTAGTAGGAGGAGCCGCCAGTGGCATTTAGCATCTCGTCCAATTATTACCTGCTATTTACGTTCAGTTGGTACCTGATGGTTGTTTTTCTCTTCGTCTGTGGCACAGACTACATATTATTTAGACCTCCCACTCTTTTAGAACCGCTGGCAGCGCTCTTGCGGTCTGTTTGGCGTTCAATTTGGCGCCATATCTAATTTTATTTTAGACTTTTTAGGGTTATGCGATAAAAAAATACACTGGCAAAGCAATTGCGTAAATATGTATTGATATTTTGTACACTTGTTACATACATTACACATTGTAAAATATAAGTTATAATAAACAAAATCGTTATTTAATAATGGTTTTTGGCGGACATTTGTCATCTTTATAAAGCAAGGTATCAATAATCGGCTGAACATCTTTATAGCAGTTCAATTACAATTGATGAAACATGATCATCGGTTAACAATAATCTACCTATTTATCTTTAAATAAATTAGATGCTCATATAAATAAGAGCATCGGTACATACGTGTAACAAAGAGCATTTCAGCAAACCGGATTTTCATCTTCAAGTTTTAATATCCATAGATAAAGATTTCGTTTTTACAGCTGCAACTTTCTTTTTTTGCTCCAACTTCACCATAGGTAGCCAAGAATGCTGCTCTAGGGGTGGATCTCGTGTGAAGCAGGCAAATATAAAGGCCTCCGCATTAAACTACATTCATCTTATTGGTTGAGCGTTTTTTGGTTAACTGGTTTCAAGAGGGTTTTCATCTAAAACCTGAAATATCATCAAAAGGGTGGCTGCATTTGACACCCACTAAATTCTTCATACTGACCTTAAAATATAAAGTGCCTTTTTGCCTTATTAGCACTAATATCTACACTTACGTTCCATTTAAGATTTTTGTTAAAATACTGTAAAATACTTCACTCATAATCCACACTCCGGGCTTGTCTTTATCTATGACTCCGGAGTATGACCATCAAATATGATTGATCGAAGAAATATTTCCCACCGCTATTGGAAAACCGATAATGACAAAGACTGGTTGTGAAAAGCACCAAATATTAAAGCCGACAAAAGATCTGTGCATTGTGAATTCCTGTGAAGCAAATTAGAATCACTTAAGTAACCATTTTGTTTTGTTATTAGTTTTCCAACATTCCAACAATTTAGTTTCCAAACCACGTGACCAAAATTGACAGCTGTGGGCACACATTGAAACGAAACCAGTCTGTTGAAGTTAATTCAGTTAATCGTTCGATTTAGTTTTCGTTGAATAACTCGATTTAGTGTTTTTTAAGTGACAACAAACTTTTTAAGATGCAAAGTGAATATTTAAAGACATTTCTGTTGGAAAGTCCTGATGTTGAGGAAAGGTAAGCAGCGTTTTATACCCATTTGGATAATGGTTACATTTTCACTCATTTTTATTGCAACTTTACCTTTATAGATATAAAACAAAGTTGGGACTAATAAACAATGTGGATCCTTTCACCTTGAACATACGTGACTTGGATAATTCTATTCACGGGGTTCCCCCGGTAACAAATATGGACATTGTTTCATATTTAGTTTTGACTAGTTATTATACCAAGGAGCAAATGAAGTGCTATAAAAGCCTACAATGGTACAAATATTTGGAGTCTGGGCTTATTGTAGACGTAGGAACAAAGGAAGTTAATGGTTTCTTTGTTTTGCTTGGAAAGGTGAATTTTTTTGCATTATTCTTATAAATGTTTGTTAAGCATTGTATTACGTACCTATTTATTTATATCTTATTGATTATAAAATTACAAGTTTTAAGTAACGTTTGCAAAAATGTACTTTACGTTAACATTTATATGGGTCAAGCAGGTAAATCTAAATAAATATGTATGTATATAGTATTTTTTTTAGGTGAAACATTCTCTGAGACCAAAAGCAAAGCCTTTGGAAGTTTGGTGTATTATTACCAAAGATGAGGCCATATCTACTGCACATTGCACATGTATGGCTGGAAGTGCTGAAGTCTGCAGTCATGTAGGTGCTCTTTTATTTGCTGCTGAATATGCCAATAGACGAAGAGAAGAAGCATCTTGTACTGATGTTCTAAATGCTTGGATGATGCCTTCAGGGTCTAGCAACATAAGGTTTACCGAAATGTTGCTAGACATTCGCAATGCTTCAACAATAAAATCAAAACCAGTGTAGTATATCCATTTTTCATCATTGCCTATCTCATGTTTAAGTCCAAAAGGCGCAGTGTCAATTTTATACTTAAGATCTGCTATTTTCTTGAAAGCGAATTTGAGCTGATCAAACTTAATCGCAAGTTCGTCCATGGGGATTTCAGTCTGAGCTGCAATGCCAGTATGTAGCTCATTATCTACATATACGACGTCGGATTCCATAATTTCCTCAACCTACATGCAATAATTATATTTTTGTTACAGAGTTAAGACGCTAAATATGGCGATAACTTTGCTTACTTACTTTTCTAATTTTCCGCTTCTCTAATCTTTCTTTTCTATCAATGGCATCCAGACGTTTGTGCACTTGTTGAGAACTGTGCCCCATATTCGGTGAAGGCATCCAATCAGGATGACTTTCATCTTCTAATGAAGCAGGGAATGCCTACCGCCGTAATAAGGTATTCAATTAAGCATATCAGGCTCTTTTAACTATGTTCCTACTCTCAGCTCAACTAAACAATTCCTTTCTATAAAAATGATTTTATAGACTTGGAGATCCTTGCCTGTAATGAAATGCTGACTGCATACTCTCTGATTTTTTAGTTTGAATTCTGAGAGATTATCCCACTTGATTGCTGCTTTCCATAGTCCTCTCCGTCGTTCAGATCATTCATTTTTATGGGTCGCAAACTTATTACACAACACAGCTGGCACACCTGCTACCTGCGCAACGCGGTAACAAGGACGCCCATATGATTACCACCTCTCTTATTTTACTTACTCTATGCATAAGATGGCGGGTGCCGAAAGGCAGCGCCTTTTATCCCTCCTCGGAGGGCCTGTTGCGGTGTTGTCAACTCACGCTACAATCTTACGCGAGGTTGTTGTCACCACAGTTAGAATTTTCACAACATGATCAGTGTTGCCAGGTCAAGTATTACGAAAGCGGTAGAATAGACATAAAAAAACATAGATTAGATAGATAGTTGTAGAATAGATTTAAAAACAAAACGGGAGATAATTAAATGTTTTTAAATTTGGGCTGTTTGAACTTTTTAAGTGTTCAGCCAAGAAGGTGTCAGCGTAGCTCCGAGGCGCGCTTTAGAAAACGAAAAACGAAAAAAACAACATGTAATCCAATCGCCAATCGCAGTGCAATGAGCTGATTTGTTCACAAATCGTCTAATATATAATAGTTATATTTAAAGTGCTTAACGTAACGTTTAGCAGTAGGTTCTTATGGCTTAGCGGTAGAGCAGTAGCTCTCATGGAAACGGGAGACCCACCGTAAAAACGGTAGACCTGGCAAGCCAAAAAATAGCTTCTTCGATCAGTTGAGAGGCGCGATAATAGCGCACTCACGGCCTGAGCAAACAATATTAACGCAGAACTGTCATTACACGAGAGTGAACAGGCCCTGGTCTGTGCCTTGTTCTATGAAGTAGGAGAATCAATAATTCTAGTTCTTTTTTGTGTTATATTAAAGTCAATGCTCTCAAATATAAATCTAAGAACATGAATTCGGTCATACATTTAGGGGTCGAAGACATGACCGCTACAGTAGTCAAGGTTCTCCTGTTTTTAGGAGCTCTGTTTCAAATGGTTTGTCTGGGAGCCTGTATTTTTGTGAAGGAAACCGCTAACGACAGTAATTGGGCACCAAGGGTAAGCAAAATTTAAGTTTCAGGATTTGAACAATCCAAAAACCCCTTACGACTTGTGATAAAATTTATTGAATGCAGCACGACATTAGAGTTATTGGACATGCTAAGTACTGTCATGCAGTACTAACGTTATTCCTTATTTTAATACTGCATTTGCGTTATTTCTATAAAGAAATGATAGTTATTGGTATGCCTAGTTCAATGCTTTCAGGATTAAAAATGTGTTATTGTGTAACCTAACCTTACACAATTTATTATTAATAATTTTACGTTGGTGTATTTGTAATATTTACCTTTTCAATTGGATTTTGGTTGCTGTTTGATCATTTACGCTTAACTGTTATAATTAAGGAAATTCTAGAAGCCGCAGCCATAGGCGGAGCAAGTGAAAATGAACTTGAATATTAAATTTTTGATAATACTTATACCTATTTATAAACAGGGATGGTTATCAGACTGAGGAAAGGGAATATTTTTGAGTATAACTATGTCTTGAAGTGCATACTATTCAGGGCTTAGTGGAGATATGAGGAACAGATACGATAAACAAATGGAAGTTCTTGACCCTTATCTGATCCCTCTTGGTCAATACGGCTTGATATTTATAAGTTCCCCAACATCAGGACGTATTTGGTGAATTGCTTAATTTAAAGGCGTAGTTTTTACATTGGACTACAGCTCAAGGCTTATAAAAATTTCCAAGTTTACAAGCATGCTGAGTCTGGCACGGTTCAAGAGATCAGCTACACACGCTAGGGATAAAGCATTTATTTTTAACATAATTCTCATTTACATCCATCATTTGAACTTTTGCTTGCAAGGTGTACATTATTGAATTGCAAAAATCTAAATTCTGAAAAACACGACTTGAATATTCTTCAGTTAGGTACGTACATCAGTTTCAACTGACTCACTAACACAGCTTTCATAAATCTGCTTTGCTCAAATTTCTTCAATAAATTCTGAAACATCAAATTCTTGTGCACTATGCAGAAACAATTTTAGCTCGGACCTAAAAACATATTATGGCTTTTAATGTTATAACAACCAACCTCTGGCTTCATTCTAGTTCTTTTTAAAAACCTTTTAAATAGGGAGTAGGCAGGCAGATTGACCTGGTTGGAGACTAGAAATGTATCCTAAATTTTCGTTGGGAAACACATCTGGATTAGTTTGGTCTTCCAAGGCAGCTGGTTTTTTTTCAATCAAACATATACAGTAGCAAAAATCACTTTTGAACAAATACTTACCAGTTATGAAATGTCCTAAGCAAATACGATCATTTCTCATATAGATTTCACGTAGAAGCACCCGTTTTAAAGCCTTAACACAAGCATTTCGACGTTCACTAGAGAAAGCATTCTGTCTCTTCTATGTCTCGCTAAAATCGGAAAAAGAAACCGTATCTCGTTCAGCACGCATTGAGCATATATACCAATAAGTCTAAAATATATATTTCAGTCTTATACAGTGTGTCGCACTTAAGATGGAAACACCTCCGTATTTCTTTTATTTTTGGAAGTATGGATTTCAGTTTTGGTACAGAGGTAGAACGTCATGAGCTTAATTGGTTAAGGTACCCATTTCTAACTTCAGATTCAGAAACCCAGCCTACTACGACTTTGCGAATAGGGGCTTCGCTATATTTTGCGATGCGTTAGAGCTATCGGAAAAAGAAAAAAATGTTCAGAATGTTATTTTGAACGGTAAATACCGAGTTTTAAGCCAAAAGTCAAATTTTGGCATTCTTTTAAATTTTTACGCAAAGCTCAAAGCCGCGTGTAATAATTGTCAATTTGACATTAATTGTGTCAGTGCGCTGACAAAATGCCTATTGAACATCTCAGTTTAAAGGAGAAAATAGAAATAATTAGATTATTTGGATGGAGTTCGAAGTAGCAGACAAGTTGCGGAAGAGTTGAATATGAGACATCCACAGAGAAATCCTATTAGACATAAAACTGCAGCAGGGGTTAATTTGCGTTTCACTCAAACTGGAAGTGTTTGAACAGTCCGCTTCACGCTGAACATTCGGACTGCTTAAAAATTTAAAAGAATGCCAAAATTTGACTTTTGACTTGAAACTCGGTATTTGCCGTTACAATAACATTTTTAACAACTTTTTTTAGTAACTTTTTCCGATATCTCTAACGCGTCGCAAAATATAGCGAATTGCCCATATTCGCAAAGTCGTAGTAGGCTAGGTTTTTGTCTGAAGGTAGAAATGGGTACCCTAAACAATTAAGCTCATAACATTCTACCTCTGTACCAAAACTGAAAACCCTGCTTCTAAAAATAACTAAAATACAGGAGTGTTTCCATCTTAAGTTCGACACACTGTAGATAAGACCCTAATAAACATAGGCGATACATTCAGCTACTTGCATTAGTGTTCAACAGAAAACTGCATAGGTAGTTACTTATTTTTAGTTTAGGTTAGAAAATTACGATCTTTGCTTCAACTTATAGTCCAGGCGAGTTACCGATTGGCATGTTCTAACTTGACGTAACTTAGATAACTATTGGAATCGCTCGGGAATGGTACTTATTGAAAATATCGAGGTGCGCCAGCTTCAAAACTTGTGCTATTATATTTGCATAAACAACAAAAAACTAAACAAAAATGCGAAAATCATACGTTTTTTTGTCGGAAACAATTGCATATAACTGGATAAGTATACATTTTAGAGAAATGTATACTCATTAATGTATTTGCTATGAAATGCTCGATAAGATAGAGTTGGTCTGATATCCCAAGATTTCAAATATTCGCTGCCAAATGCTGGAAAGCGCAAAAAAGTACTTAAAAAACAAGGTAATTTTAAATTATTTATTTAACAATAAAAAATAAGGCAATCACGTCATACATTTAGAGAAAAGTGCTTGACTGCTTATGATGATTATGATTATACTCATTAATTAAGATAGTGTGCCCCCTTTATTTATGATCATCATTTATTTATTATATGATATATAATTATATTTTTATGCACAGTGTCTACTGAAATAGCAAGTTCGTCATCTACAATTCATTATCCTGCAATGTCATGAGCAAAATAATTGCTCCAAAATTAAGCTCCAATAACTCCTCAGTCAAAATATTGTATTTGCAACATTGAGGATAAAATATACAGTGTATGTAAATTAGTATTCCATTTTATTATATAAAAATAGTCTTAATATTATTTTTAGAATCTCCAATAATAATAATAAATTAATAAGTATATTACCGAATATTATCACTATAAAAACAGTTATTTTCGAAAGATAGAATGAAGTGCAGCAATAATACAATAATTGACTTCGACTTGGTACCCAAAAAACCATTCAGAAAATACGCAAAAATAAAGCATTTGATGGACAACTCATGACAGACAAAAAACAGAATACCAGACCGGAAGTATACATAAGAGTATAGCATATTATTAACGACATATTTGAAATAAAATTTAACATCAGGAAAACGCTTTCCTCTTACTTGGCGAAGTTCATTAGAAAGAAGTCTCAGAACAATTTTTCCCGATCAGTTTGCCATGAAATGTAGCTGGACAGACCGCAAGAACAATTTTTCGCTGCAAAATTTAAAACTGGGCCAACTACCTGAAAAGTACTTGACTGCAATACAATACGAGAGCCGCAAGGCCGATTAACATCGGACGGACGGTTTTTGCATAATGCAATTGTTAATTAACCTACCTGGAAAAAATTACCTTTTTTAAAATTTTGTGCCAGGCAACAAAGACCGTTACCAGGAAAAAAATTGACACTATTACGGGTTCTGAGTTTCAAGGAGAAGAAGGTCCATGGTTCAGACAAGCAAAGTTGAGATTTCAAAGATATTTATCAACAACAGAAAGAGAAAATCAGATAAGAATATTTTTTTTCCAGCATTAATTATAAGATATGAGTTTTGCTACTTTAAAGACGTTGAAACAACAATATACATACAGGGTGATTCAAAATTGGCGTCATTCCTCTGGAGGTGTTGTCTGGCGCTGTTATAGGAGTACCGAAAAAATAGTAAAATAAATTAATTGTTATTAAAAACTGAGAAATTTGCAAAAAACTATATCAGAAATACGGCAGCAATGTTTTTCAAGGCAATCTGCCTAATTAACATTGCGCAAATACCTGTGGCTTCGTAATTATTTAAAACTCCCATGTAATTATACAGACTGACAATAAGATAGACAAGGATAAACGGTAAATTCAACAAGATTTGTTGACGAAATGTCAACGTGGTCTCATAACCTCAAATATTGGTGCTTAAAAATAAACCATACGACACCAAACATTTGAATGGTTAACTCCAAACAAGCTAGTGCCTGTGTAATCTCCTTATTATCCACTCTTATCAAGCAGCTTCTCGTATTCAGTTAATTAACTCGTGCTCCATTTGTATCTCCTTGTGCTGTGTGTATCGTACAAACGTGGTAGGAATGTAGCCGGTATTTATTTGGTGCCTGGGAAAGTGTCAGTGGTTGTGCAATGTTCTGAGTGCCCCTGGAAGGCTCTGCTGCAATTATGTCCAATACTTGTTCCTCTGTGCCTAGAACCCGAACATCTATCGTCCACTATCTTCCTGGAACCACTCTCCTCGCTCTTTGTTGGCGTGAGTTCTTTCAGCTTTTACTAAGTTACTGTAACATTTCCCTTGAACTAATCGCATATCCGCAAATTCGTGAAAGGAAATTCAAAGTAAGTCGCAGTTTGACAAATTATTGTTATTATTGACAAGGGCTATCCACCTGTAACTATCTGTTAATGACAAAAA